TTTTCATTCTTAGCATTTTCCTTTTGTCACAGGTGCATGTTTCAGCATCCCAGTATCACTCCTATGACAGCTTCCTCTCCACTTACTTTAATATGTAACTATCCTGAAATGTATACAGTTTTCCAGTGGAGATTTTCTCCCTTGCTTTTCCGTTGACTTTGTCTCTGAATTCTTGTCCATATAGCCTTACATAAGCGCTGCTTATAATTACATTTCCATAGTTCCACATACTCAAAATTCTCTAAGTGTAAAAAGAGGTAGCTCTGTCAAAAGGAGAGACCCTCTTAGAACTTCCCTAGTGGAGGCACTGCTTATTAGATAATTCACGTAGAAGGGAGCTTTACTGAAAGTCCTAAGTGCAAGAAGAGTTTCAGTCACAGCTCACAGCTTTTTAGAAAACAAAGTCAAACTAAGACAAATCCATAGAAAAACAAGCTCATCACTTGCTTTATGCTTAGAGTATGCTTATACTGGCATTTGTCGATGGCTTATACATATTTTAATAGATATGTACTTTACTGGTTTCAGAATATCGTAACAATAATTAAAGCAAATGAGAGCCTGCTTAGGCTTTCTTAAAGTGGCAGATGGCTGTATTTTATGTCCCCCCCTTATATATCTTAGCTGTCTTATAGCACCTTCCAGTAAAATGGAGGAGTGCAAGATATAACTGGCTTCTTGAACATTCAGATACTGCTTAGTTGTAACACTGCTTAGTTATATTGCCATTTAATTTATAAAAACTTTAATAGAAAAATAGCATGTGACTGAAGAAGCATAATCTGACCTCCTATATGGCCTGGTTTAAAAGACATAGTCACTCCTTTGAAATGGATTGTTATAACAGGCTTTATTTAACAGTTAGATGAATGAGCTGAAGAGTCTAAAAAAAAGCCCCTCTTATTAAAAACATAAAACATATTAAAATATAAAAAAACATAAAATCATATCCTAAGTCTTTAAAAACGGGCTGTGTCACAGATGACCAGTAAATTATGTAATACTAACCGTAGTGTTTACCACAATAACTTTTAGGACAGGCAGTGTTATAATATCCACATTATGGTGCAGACATGGTACAATATCGTAAGAGAAAAGATGATGTTATTTTAGTTGAAAACATGCCAATTTAAAATACAGGCAAAGTTACACAAATATGAGAAAAAAAGATAAGATACGGTTTAAAAGTCCTGAGGAAACATGTCATCCTCTAGAGACTGCGTTTATCCAAATTTTAGAAAAACCTACAGAGATTAGGTTTTACCTAATGCTGCATAAGATGATTATAGCTATTTGTGGCACTTTAATTCCTGCTAGAAACAAAATGATGTTTTATAGAGATGTATCTACTAAAAAAAAAAAAAAAAAGAACTCACATAAACCTCTTTCATCCATTCTCATTCTACAGAACGGTCTTCTAAGCTGTAAAATCATGCACTTTTCTTAATGAAATGAAGACTAGACAAATATATGGTAGAGATTTTTAGAAATATATTGTACTAAACGGTATGTATTACATTAAAAAAACTGATTATATTTTATAAAGAATAGAACTGAAAAAAACCCACTTAGTAGTTTTTACACATCCAGATGACTAGGATTTTTTATTTTCTTATTATTGTTGCTGCTGTTATTATTACTCTATTTCATGGTTTTCCTTTTTTATCTTTACACAATGCCTCCAATCTGCCCCATGATGAGACAAGCCCAACAAACAAGGCATTTGTATTTCAGCAGGTTACTCTGAAGGTCAGTTTAATTCTCTCTTCCTTGTAGAGCGACTTCTAAAAATATACGCTCATATCACAACAACATATGCTACAATTTGCAAGGACCCAGTTATTTTAATGCTGTCTAGCTATGGATGCCTCTATCAAAAGCAAAAATCTTTATGAGCTCATGATAACAACAGCGCTATAACTTACATTCTCACCGTGCCACAGAAGGCAGCTACTGGTGCCATCCTTTCCGCAAAAATAATTTGGAATTTACTTAGGGAAATGTCGATATCTAGGTAGGACTTCTTCTGCTTTCACTCCATTTCCATCCACTTCTTCACTAAGAGATTTTTTTCCTTTTTCCCCTCTCAGGAAAATAGGGTTAGATTTTCAAAGCACTGTGGTTGGGCCACTTGAGTCTAATGGGACTCCAGAGACTGCAGCTCCACATGTCACTTTGAAAATGTGCCTCTTAGCAGTAACTAAACCCAGCAACTCTAATAAGAAGTCTAGCAACAAGAACAGCCTGAAGGGAGAAGGAGACGCTTTTGAACCAGAATTAAAATGTAAAAGGCCAATCCACTAATAATCCTTTAGTAAATCACTTACAGATCCTTTACTTCAATATTTGTAGCCACTTTTGCATTTGAAGAATATATTCATGAAAAATATTGAATTCTCAGAAAATTTTCCAGCATGACACCATTTCTCTCATGTTACTCCCTAGGTCAGAAGTCAATACTTAATATTTATGAAATATACCGCAGATAAAAAAAAAAAAAAAAAGTCATGCAATTCCTGAGAGTCTAAGTTCAAACATGGCTGCAATAATCAAATCACACAAGCAAACATTTGAGAACAAACAGAGCTAGATAATACTCAAACTTGGATGCTCAGATTTGAAATGTGTTTCTAACTGTATCTATCCTTATCAGTTCTTATAACACTAAATTTAAAGATAATCTATAGATTTTTAAAGAATTTCGGAAGTCAACTAGAACTGAACACAATGCAATCACTTAAGGGACAAGGAATGATTATAATAGCTGAATTTGGTCCTAAGGGAATGCAATTCCACCTAAGCTGTGGGGCCAACATGAGTTGAATTTTGCACATAAAACAATGTCATCTTTATGGCTTTAGGAACATGCACTCCTGCATCCAGGCTAATGCTTCTGTACAAAAATCATTTTTTTCTTTAACGGTTACAGCCTAAATATCTAAAAGGTCAGTCAATTATGGATAAAAGCAGATAAGTTTGTCTGCTCTAAAGAAGATGAAGTTTGGGAAAGTGTTGAACACACAGTCTCCAAAAATTACCCCAAATTGGCCCTTTCAAGATAACTAGACGCTTTGTAAATGTAAAAGACGAGGGAACGTAAGCAGTACAGAACTTTGAGAGAGACCAAAAGCTCTTCTTTCGCTCGTGGTCTAAGTTAACGGTAAGTGGAAAATATGATAGGATATGATAGGAAGCTAAAATAGATGTCACAGGAGTGTTTTTTTTTTTTTTTTGAAATACTGTTTATATAAGAACCTCATTATTGATTGTGAAATAACATCATCTTCCACACTTAAAATATTGATGAGAGGTCACTTGTTTGTGTTACTCCAGAATCTAGACCAACCAAATAGCAAACAAAACACAACAGTGAGAGACTTTGAATGTCCTGTGATTCCCAGATGTCTTTAATAAAAAAAAGTGTTGAAGGACAAGGAAAAGATATCCAAAGGCCTACAAATTAAAATTCTATCTGACTTCTGAAACACCTCACTCTTCAGTGTATTATCTTGGCAATCAAAAGATCTCCTTTATTCTTTGGATTCAACCTTATTGTAACTATAATGACTTGTTCATTTCTTGCATATGTAATGCATCAAAAAATATTACAGTGTAACCACAAATAAAGAACACATATTGTTAGAATATTGTGAAGGATTATTTCAAAGTACTACAAAAGCAAATGAAAAACTAACATTGTTTTGGAGATCTGTATATTTCTTCAATACATACTTTTACATTCACAGTTATTTTCATAAAAATAATATAGGAAACTTCCCATCTTTTTTTTTTTCTTTAGTTCAAATCTATTTGTAACTATTTGGTAAAACTATTACGAATTTATTTGCTTTTTTATGATACATAGTCATTAAAAATTATGTAGGGCTTATGAAATAAAGCTTACCACTCTGAAGAAGCTGAGCAAAATTACAAGTAAAATAGCATTGACATTAATTACTTCCATTTGCAGGAAATGGCGACTGGTAACATACATTTTTCATAAATGCTACAGAAATTACTGAAACTATTCCCGGACCTCCTCCTCTTCATAGTAATAGTGCAATATTGATGTGTTTCTACTTTTATGAGGTATAATCAAATTTTTTTCCCTAACAGCTACTGCATTTAGCTCTGCAGTCAGAAAAACTGGTACTCTGGCTTCAAACAGCCACAACTTTAAGGTACATTTGTTTCCACAGCTGACATTTGCACTAAGAAATGCTCCCTTCTGTAGCAGAGTACTTATGAACCAATTTACGGATGTCTGTGAAGGAAGAAAACTCAGGGGCCAATGTAATGTGAGCAAGGTGGCAGAGTGAGGTAGAGCAAGAATGACACGCAATCACTACCGCCACCTCCTACAACTGGCAGCACGTACACTGCGCTGGGCAAGAAACCATAGGGAAGCAACAGAGCATGTCTTAAACATCTTAACGGTAGAATTCAATATAAGTTCAAGATCTTGAAAGCCTTATTTTATAGATAATGACTTCTGCAACATCACATTGACTGGGAACATTCTGCAGAAGTTTCACTGTGTCCTTGAGCATTTTCCGTGACTAATTTCTGAGTTCCCTTAGCTGGCACTTCTCATTAAAACAATGCAAAAGTCACAAAGAGATTTTGTATATTTTGCCCCAGCAAAATCATTGAAACTTTGACCATTTACTAGTACGGAGGCGCAGTTTCATCTTCAACTTTGCACGAACATGCGGTTCAGTAATTTTCACGAAACAAAGGAAAGAAGCAAGGTTTAGGAATAACCATTCAATGTCCTACTTTGCATGACTTTTTGGTACTCTTTCTTCATTACAAATAATCAAATGCCATTGAAATATCTGGATAATGAATTTATCTGTAAAGAACCTGGAAGGCTCATCTGAACGTGCTGTTGCATGGTCAACACAAATTAGATAGTGATCAATAAGAAGAAAGTTACCAGGTCTGACTTAGGTCTGGCCTTCAAAAGCATGTATCTGTCATTAAACATTAGTACCTACCTAGAAGTGCCTGAAATAAGCTGCTCTTAAAGATGCCCATCACCTTTCTGATGGCTTTTTTCAGTTGTTGTTCTTCTGGCTTCCTTAGTTTCTTACAATATTCTTCCAGCAGCACTAAAGCTCGGTCAGTATCTAAAAATGAACAAAAACAGTGTTTTATTGACTCAGGAAAGCATTCAGATACTAACCCCCCATTTCTAAAGGTCTCATTCATATGTAATGAACACTTACACCAAACGGTGTTGCATTCTGTTGCTACCTGTAGGCCATGAACAGGATTACAACACAGGCAAAATGGAAAGATTAACAGAACATCAAAATAGGAAAACTATTGCACATCTGAGATCACTCTGCAAAGGGAAAATGATCATTCAAATTACATCTACAACAACTGTTTAACTTTTGTTTTTCTAAAATTAGCTGGAAGCTATGTGTTTTGAACCAAATTACATTTTGCAGAAGCCACGAAATTATGGATAATAACCATTATGGATATCCATGCAGGAAAATTGGCCTTAAAACATATTTGGAGAAGACATCTGAAGCGTGGTTAGAATACAAGGCTCACTTTCCTCTTCTCTGAATAGCAAATGTGTATCTGAAAGGCAAGTCTCCAAGAGGGGTCATATGAAATCCAAACATCCTCATTTTATATATAAGAAGGTACAGGAAGATGGAGAATCAAACTTCCCCTTTCCCTCTCCCTGTTATAGCTAACTCCTAGAGATGTCCACATGCATGTATATGTATGACACGGAAATGTCTGCATATGCTTTTGTAATTACACAGTTCGATAAATTTGCAATAAAATTCCTAAATATTAAAAACAGACACATTAATAACTACAATGAAGCAAGCACCTCAGTCTAAACATCTTACAGTAGAGTTCAATAAAAGTGTCATTGTAGGTTCAGACTTGTTAGCTAGATTAACCTTAATAAAGTACTGTAAAAACACTTGCAAAGGCAGAACAGACTGCTTTTACCATTCTTTTTCTCTAAATCTCTCAGAGCAAACTTCCTTCTAACTATATCAAAACTGATCCTCTTTGTTCATCCAAGGATCTTGAACAAGGTTCAGCACTTGATGGGCCTTGTGTTGTGACAGTTAAAGGCAAGATGCATATTCTATATATTGCTAATAATCTCAAATTAAGTAATAATTAATGTTTAAGAAGATGTGATTTCTCTTCTCTGTCCTCACAGAAATGTTGGCTGATCACACATATTTTATCAGAGAAGTGAAAAACATATAATGAAGAAAAAGGAATGGGAATTAAATATATATATTTCTCATAAATAGATATATATATATATTCAGCAGTGAGGAATATTAGGGAACATTTTTGAGCAGTGAAGGCACTTATATACTGAAAGAGGTCACGGATCTCTGTCGCAATCCCAACAGAGAGATTCTAGGGGGGGGAACCCCGTTGTTCTGCTAGAGCTATCACTGAGAGAGGCAAGGGTTAGGGAATTGCCTTGCCTCTTTAGGCTAAAGGAGTAGTGCGCTTCAGATCCATTTATAATCTACAGGGAGAGAGCAGCTCTTTCAAAGACCAGTCTGGAGCACCTGTTAAGCCACCTGTAAGCATGGCAGCTCCGAGGCAGAAAGCAAAGTGCTTTTAACAGTTGGTTCTGTCATACCAGAGCAGCCCACTGTTTCATCACTATCCAAATTGAAAGCACAGCCTCAAAACAAGGTTCTGGGTCCAAGTGGAATAATTCTGACAATAAATTGTTGGGAATATAGAACTAATTCTACGTGTGAGCTTGGTTTCATTGCTCTTGAAAATCCCATACCTTTCACTCAGATGGTAAAAGTGTATCCGACCTGCTTATGCTGCCTGTGCTTTTGTGCATATACTGAGAGTTCTGCCTCTCCCGTACAAAATAATTAGTTAATAGCTCAAAGCATTGATTGGAATCAGGCATCCACCTTCACCACCAATACAGACACTCATTCTCACATCAGCTCTTTGGTGCAACATATGCATGATTATTAAAATGAAGCAGCAGCGACTGGAAGAAAACTATTGCAAAATATCTAGTACTCAGGACACTTTTCAGACTCTAAATGAAGGAAAGAGGATTTGAATGCATGCCTCCCTTTGAGCTACACACACAAGAAACACCCTACCACACCTTCTTTCTTAGCCATTTTGTAAATAGTATTGACATTTTCTCATCAGTCATTCTTTCCCTGAAGTGTATGATTCTTATTTAAAGACAAATACTTAAAAGTGGCATCCTTTTTTTTTTTTTGAAATGAGTAGAGTTTTTATTTTAATTCAAATTATTATTTTTTAATTCAAGACGGAAAAAAGCCTACTCTGGGTTGACCCCAGAGCACTTTCAAACCCTAAAACTGCACAGAACTGAACAGTTACAGAGCGTTAGTAGTAGCATTACAGAGCTCTAGGGTTAACTCTAAATCCTGGCTAAATCCCAGATCAAGTAATTACCTGTCTGCCTGGTTTTCTTCTCTAGCTTTAATAGGATACATTATTTTTCACTTCCTATCCTAAGCCCTTGCACGGAGCTGCAGTTTTCCCCCATACAACTGCACTCTGTAGTAGATCGTGTTTTCCAAATAGTCTGCGATGTGCTGCACATGCTGATAAAAAGAATCACACGTGGAGGGAGCAGGAGGTGGATATCAACAGTACCGTTAAATACAATTACATTGGGCCTCCGAGGGGCTCTGTGGGTTCATGAGGCTCACAGGAATATCCTTGGACACCCCCAGACAGCTCTGCTTTTGCTGAAAGCTACCCCTGATGTTATGCTATCAACTGGAAACGTATCTTGACCAAGAGTATTGCAGCATGTCGGGGCAGCTGTGCAACAGCTGTTACTGGAGCACTCCTGAAAAGCCAAGGAGCTTATGGAGACTGTTAGACTATCTAGTCATTTGGCAGTAGATTAGGCTTGCAAAAAGAAATTTTCAGCCTTTCGGTCAAACCTTACTGACTACGAAATATGAAATAATACAACAATATTACCATGTTTGAGGAATATTAAGTACTTCCTCCAAGATGACAGCCATCTTCAACTCTTACTTATGCCCAAAATGGATGAGGACACTTAGGCTGTTTGAAAGCTATGAAGCTTAAGCAATACGAGAACTTGTTCTTGTTTGGAAGAACAAACTGCCTGGACTGCAGTGCAATAGTTATAAACTATTTATTATAATTAAATAGTAGTTATAATAAATAAGAACCATATTTCCAGCTATGCAAATTAAACACAAGTTTCTGACACTGAATTCCAATATATTCTTCTCATAAAGGAGAATGACAGACTGGTGCTTTTCAGGAAGGATGGGATCACTCTAAATGTGTAATAACAACATGCACTGGAGTACATAGTTAATTTTTAGCAGCTAAAATAAATCCTGCACCTTAGAGTCTGACTGTGTCATGAAATGCAACCAAGAAATCTTCATGCCATTGTTCCATCATCCTTCTGCGCTTATGCCAAAACCAAATTCAAGCAAGACCAAAAATCTGCTAAACAATCTCATGTTCCAAGTTTGGAGCCTCAGTGTCTTAAGTAGGTCCACTGTCCACTAACAAAAGGCCACTGAAAAATAAATATCAGCTATATCCAATGAAGTCAGCTCGATATAGTTCTAGCTTTTCTTACTGCTGCTTTGCATACCATGACATTATTTTTAAAAGAATATACTAATCTGAAATGTTAAGTAAAACCAAGTCTAACATAGATTGGAGTCTAATTGTACAAACTTTGACTCAAATGACTGATCCTGTTGGCTTTGAAAGAGTGAGGGACCTCACTAGGAACCAGTGAGATATATAGAGTTCTACAGAAACTCATATATGTTCTAGACAGCATCTGCACTGCTATTTTGTTTAAGTACGAAATAAATTCATAACTTCGTAATACAATAGTAAAAAAAAAATTCTTTCAGGATAAAATAGAGTTTATGGTCCTGCAGTATGTTGTCCAAGAAATTAACAATTAAGCTGAGCTAGCTATCAATTCTGTAAACTTTATCACTTTTTTGCTACATAAATGTTTATCGAGTTCATAAATGCTCGTGCTTTATGTTATTGATCAGAGAATGAACGATTTCTACAATATAGCAAATCAGAGATATATGTGATATTGACAGAAATCTGTAAATGAGTAACTCCGATTGTTAGATTTCTTTGGAAAATTGCTTCGTCCCTCAAACAAACTAAAATTTTATCTTACAAGAAATGATTTTTTTAACAAAATGAGTTTTTGCTTAATATAATGCATTAATTTCTGAAAGATTCAAAAATAAAATTCTCTCCTTGGAGTTACTATTCTAAATGTGATCATTAGAGAATAATCTACACTTTATAGTTCTCAGACACATTTTCATGTAATGCAGATTTTTCAAGGTCTGTAAGTAGACAGTTACACCATGAACCAAAACATCTGCTGTATCAATGCTTATATAAACGAGGAAATAAAAAATAAAATTACACAAAAAATACATTGCTAATGCAACCTAAATAATATTTGAAGGCAGTGTTGCTTCATTATCACTTGCAGAGAAAACTAAGTTTTCCAGGGACACTGTCAACAATAAACGCATGAACACATCCATAGAAGCAGTATAGAGTAATATATATTACAGATCAGAAGACATGGACTGTTCCTTGAATAGAAGTAGAAATACTGAAATAGCACACTGTTCATTGAACCATTACCCTTAAATGTAAACTAAAAATATGCAAGACTATATATCGTATTACACATTAAAAAACAACACAAGAAATTCTAAAATGAATTTGTTTTTTCATTTACTTTGGCAAAATGATGTAAAATCATTTACTTCAGAAGTGGAGTAATTTTTACAGAAGTAGCACGTAGGCTATTTCTCAGTCTCCATATCAGAGATCTGGATGGCACTTACAATACTAAGGAGTACCTTAAAAGCAGACAATGTTCTCATTTTTTGCAAAGAAATTTTGGAATCATTGAAACTCCATGTTTTGCAAGGAGATACAGAAAAATTTTAGCTTCAATTCTTTTTAACTAAACATGTAACAGGTGAGCACTCGTTTTTTGCATGAATAGATAATAACAAACAGGAAACAATAAACTGCAAATCTTAACGGAGTTATGTACGTTATG